GGATGGTGGGGCCTGTGTGCACACTGCCCACTGAAAAACACAACAGGCAGGAGCCAGTAGGGATGGGGATGGTTAATATTTATTGATATCGATACCTTTATCGATACTCCTTATAGATTCGAGTCTTTATCGATACCACTATCCATACTTTTCTGTTATTTGGTGGAAAGACGATGCGACAATATTTAGCAAATAAATAATTGTATTTTAAATTAAATGTCATTTTTAATAAATGTTGGCATCAGTAGTTTAATTATATATTCTAAAATAATTAGAGCAATATACAACTGTGTTACTCATGTTTCTCGCCAAAAACTCAATTTCCCTTTTCTTAACGTTACACTTGAACGCATCATGATAACCTAATTGTGGTTTTACTGAGCCAATCTGAACACATCATCACGCAGCACGTCTAAACTTTATTTACTTTTCAAGCTAACTAGCTTGTATGCTGCCGATTACAACACGGATTTCACAATTACTATTGTAATAATAAAAAAACCACCAGACTCCATAGTGGTACCGATAAGCCCAAACGGTATTGATTTTTGGGTTTTGAAAAAAGTGACCCTGAGGGTCCTGACCTGCCACGGTGGTGCTCAGGGGCAGGCCGGTCTCCGCGTGGTAGGGATGGACAGCGATCTGGGTCATAGACGGAACGGGAACACCAGGAAAAGTGACCGCTGTGGCGGCCATAGGCGGCTGGGGGCCGGTGGCTACTGAAAACGGGAACTGGGCCCCGATAAAAGCTGGATGCATTCCCTGAGGACACATACATGCATCAGACTCAGGCCAGCTACAAATAAAGTTAACACTCATATACAGTGGGGGGAATAAGTGTTTGACCCCTTGCTGATTTTGCAGGTTTGCCCACTTACAAAGAATGCAACGATCTATAACTTTAATCATATGTACATTCTAACAGTGAAAGACAGAATCCCAAAGAAAATTCCAGAAAATCACATCATATGAATTCATAAAAATTGATAACCATCTGATGAGGAAAAATAAGCATTCTTTGTAAGTGGGCAAACCTGCAAAATCAGCAAGGGCTCAAATACTTATTTCCCCCACTGTAGAACAGAAATGATAAAACTGAAAAATACAATCTTTAAAAATATACAGTGGTTATCCATTTTTATCAATTCATATGATGTGATTTTCTGAAAATGGCTGGCAGTCAATGAGTTAAAAATGTAAAAATACACATGTACATTCGTACCCCATTGTCTTATTTCTGAAAAAATAATACAAAATTTGTTTAAAAAAACTAATATTATATGTATAATTTTGAAGTCATGCTTTTAAAGTCATGCTTTGATCATCTACTGTCTGCTTCTTGAAAAAGACCGGATTCTCTCTGTTACATCTCGGTCAAAACCGAACCTACAAATGAGGACAAATTAGTATAAAAAACCTTCTGACCTGTGGATACGAGGCCCCAGACACGGGGAAAACGCTAATTAATTATTAGGTTATTTTTTTGGTTTTGGTTTTTCTCACACTCTTGTAATCACCCTGTGTTTGTGTTTGTTTTTTTATGTTTAAAAATGTAAAAATACACATGTACATTCGTACCACATTGTATTATTTCTGAAAAAT